GTGTCTCAGTGCATGGCGGGGAAAGGGTGGTGTGTCTGTGCTGGGGGCGTGACGACAGATCGGTGATCTCAGTAAGGTGATGACTAGGGATGTTAGAGTGTAAGCGGTTAACCCGTAAGCGGATGCTTATCGCTCAATGGTATCCATTAAACTCTGCCCACTTAGGAAGTTGACTCTCTCCTCCACCTTCTTCCCCTCCTCCCACCCCAGATGTGGGCTCTGCAGGTTAAGAGCCACAAGGGTCCCCAGTACGAGCTGGATCCCAGCAGCAGATACAGAGGCAGCAGCATGAAGTGTCAGGGGGCTCCCCGGAAGCGGGGCCAGGATGGGCGTGCGCAGCACATCTCATTAGGGTGTGCACCCAGGGAATTTTTTTTTTTTTTAAAGGAGAACATTTATTGAATACGCAATCAGAAAGGACATGCTGCAAGCGAATGCGGGCTTTCTATACATTTCTACAACATCTATATTATGCAATTCGGCGCTTATTGCATAATACAACAATCCATCCTTTAAAACTAAAAGAGCGTATCATGTGATTAAAATAAAACACAAAGCCACTTTTTTTTTGAGACATTAGGGTGTGCCCCGGCACACCCCCTGCGCACGCCTATGGCCAGGAGCACACTGGCTGCCAGCCCCGCCTCCAGGGATTATTGAATAGTTGTGTAACCAATAATATTTTGTGCAGTTATAGGACTATTCAATTAATCCTTATCTAGCATCCCTAGAAGGATTATGTGACTTGACCAAAATCACACCAGAATTCTATGGCAGAAACAGGAACTGAATCATGATCTTCTGAGTCCCTCGTTGTAGCCACAAGACCAACCTACCTCCCTCTTCTCCTTGAATACAGTTGTTTATTATCCTAACTGGTACCTGTGGGCTGTCCCCAGATCCCTAGATATGAATATTTCAGATGCAAACTCTCCTCAAATAACTTTAGTTGATTAGCACCTGTGAAGTGCAAGTGCAGGTCTAATCTTTCTAATCATGGCAATTAAATGACTTTTCTAATCACAGCAGTTGCATGATCTCGCCCTGCCTGGTAAGGGGAATTCAGGGTTTCGTATGGCACTAGGAAACAGTTTTCCTAGACAAGCGTATCTTAGGATTTCTGGTGTTTATATGGTAGAATTGAAAATGGCCTCTTCATAAAGGAAAATAAATCCCTAAGGTGGACTGTAAAAAAGGGAAATCTTTAATTGGTTATTTATTCCTCCCCTGCTGGGTGCAAGGTGTAATGATATCTCATTAGTTCATTGCACAGTCTGTGCAGCAGCGAATTACTCATTAGCATTCTGTAAGGTGCGGCTGTCACTGGCTCTTCATAAAGAGCAGCCCCAAGTGGCTCATTTTATCTTCCCTCTTCTCCTTCTGCTCCCTCTGCTGATGGTTTTTGAACAGCTCAAGAAATGTGTGGCAGGGTTTGGACTTCATTACGTTATCACCTCATCCTTTTTCTCCTTTCACGCCCTTATCCTTTCCTCCCTCCCCTGTATCTGTTTGCCTCCTCTCCCTCTTCGTTGCCCTTAATTCTGCCCTTAATTCGTTATTGTTCTATTGTTGGAAATGAGTTGCCAAAAAATGTTGCATCAGAGAAGCATAGGCACAACGCATACAGACAGCGAGTAGGCTTAAAAATTAGAACGGCAGGGACTGGGATTCAGGATTCTTTCAAATTCTGTTATTGACTCACTGTTTAATCTTAGGAAAGTCACTTAAGTGCTCTGTGCCTCGGTTCCCCCATCTGTAAAATGGGGATATTAATACTCCTCTCATAGAAGGGTTGTGAAGTTTAATCCGTTAATATTTGTAAGATGCTTTGTTGGAAGATACAAGAGAAAGGCAAAGTATTATTAATTATAAAACAAAAGCAAAGTCCTGTGTGGATTGTGGAATTTGCCAGATAATTTATCCCTTGTTTCAGAATTGTGCTCCAGAACCTTAGCTGTCTTTTTTTAAATTTACTTTGATCTGCAGTGGCCAAAACAACCTCTCAAATGTGAATCAAATGTAAACCGCTGCCTGCCTGAGTCTGCAAAACATCAAAAAAAAATGGCTTTGAGAGGGGTGAGCTGGTCCCATCATCTCACTCAGGGCTTATGGATTCTGCTATTGTATGACTGTCAAATTTGGCATTTCTCCAAGATACTGCTTGAATCTGGCATTTTTGCTGCGGATTTCATTATTTTGCTGAAACCAGACACTGGCATTTCAGTAAAGATCCCATCCATGGCATAGCCCAGAAAGAACCAGGGTCCTTACCCCCTGCCTGGTTAACTCTTCCCTGCCCAAGAAAACAGGTTCCAAGGTGGTTTTGACCTAGAGCTGTGTGCAAAACAGTTGCTGTATTTAACCACACAGTTCTTGCCCTTTGCATCTGAGTCATTGCTTTGTAATCTGCTTTGAGGCATGTCGAACATGAAAGTTGCTAGACACAAGAAGATCCCATTCTAAAAAACACTGCAAAAGGGAGTGTTTATTTGTGGGCTGGGGGAAGTTAATGTTATTTAAACATGGCATCTGTAGTTGTCCACCTGTTGTGTACTTTGATCAGGAAGGCTGAGACATAACAAAGAGGAAGCAATGCTTGCATAATATTTTGTTGTGCATGGGTGGTACTTTTCTGCACTGCCTTTTGCTGAATAAATTCTCAGCTGCCCTAAGATTTGAATTCATCCCTGTGCTAGGACACCCATGGCTCTAGAACCAGGAGTTTCAGGATTCAAGGTAGGTACTACTCCCTCACTGCCTCTCAGGACCTAATTAGGATGGCCACAAAGAGCAGGGCAGTGCAAGAGCCGGTCAGTGAGCCGGTTCCAGCTCACCTAGCTCTTCCATCCAGCTTGCATGGCAGTTCCCGGCCCCATGTTGCCTGGAAGCTGGGGACACAAGAGCCCTTTCAACTGCTTCTATTTAAAGAGCTCCAAGGAGGGGCTCACGGCTCTTGCCTCCCCCATGAGCCTTTTAAATAGAAGCCGTTGAAAGAGCTCTCAGCTCCTTGCCCTGCCCCTGTTGTGCAAGGGGGCGGCCCGTGACCACTTCTGAAATGTGTGAAGTGGCTCCCCTTCAGAAACTATTGCCCACCCCTGACTAAAGGGAACTGAGAAGCTAAGCCCTGCAGGAAGTCCCACCTTAAGAGGCATGAGTGACAGACCTCCATGATTCCCTGATTGGCTGACACTCCCCATATAAATTGTCTGAGTAGTGCAGATATCCGCTGTGGTTTTGCCTGCTGTGATGACTGGCTTCTGATCCTGGTTTATTGTCTCTGGCTTAAGACTGTTCTTGACCCTAGTGGAAGATCCTGGCCTGGCCCAACTCCAAGTCTCGTTTCAGGCCAGTTCTGCGCTAGAACTGGAAGGTCAGCTTAAGGTACACAACTCCAGCTACATAAATAACGTAGCTGGAGTCGACATACCTTAAGATGAGTTTGGTGCCATCTTCATAGCAGGAGATAGACGGAAGTAAACACAGAGGAGTACCGGTGCCAACTGGGGGCACCCTCAGCATTCGATTTAGCGGGTCTTTAGTAGACCTGCTAAATCGAATGCCAGAAGATCGATCGCCAGCGTGGCAAGTGGAGATGTGGCTCCCACTCTCAGTTTTGTAGTGGCCTTTGCAGTGATGATCTGAATTGATCTCTGACCTTTGGCTTTGATAGCAGATCACTGTGCCCATAGGCTGCCCATGAGGCAGCACTGACAATATAAGAGTAACAGTAAGGACCAATAGTGTTCTTCTTTTTCTCTATGGCTGGCCAAGAGCGTACAACTTTGCCACCTTCCGGCAGTACATCTGCCAAGCGTGCTGCCTACAGCCGTCCCAGAAGGGCATTGGGAAGGAGGTTTTGGCTGATGCAGCTGGCCAGCTTCTAAGTGATCACAAAAAAGCAGCTTTCTGCTCTAAGGTCATGTCCATGTGGAACGGCTGACAATGGCTGTAACCGAGTCCCAAACCTTCTAGGGGTTGTATCTGAGGTCATCTCTCACCCTGTATCTGAAGTTAAGATCTGCTGGGAAGGCTACTGCTTTCTATTCCTGGAATTGGGTTTTTCTGGACTTGCAGCAGGGTTTTCTCGGCAAAGAATCCCTCCCCTTGGCAATTTGCCAGACCTCCAGTCTGGCTGCCTCTAGGGCATGATGGTAAGGCATATATTTAGTTTTCTGAATGTTTCCTGCCTCTGATGTTGTCTCTGTTCTTGGTACTCTGGATACTGGTTTATTACCAGCTGCAGGGTGAATGGTTTTGTACCATTTCCTGTGAGGAACCTTGTGTAATTTATTTTTTGAACTAGTAACAGCATATTTAAAAGGTTCCAAAATAAAGAAGTGTGTGTGAGTTCTGATACTATTTGTTGCTGCTGCTGCTATGCAACACATTTGTTTTAATATTGAGAACCATCTGGCAACGTTACCATCGTGGTCTCTAGTAGCAAATGTTATATCCTTAGGGTCCAGACCCTTAAGACAGAACTACTGCTGCCTAGCGGACAAGAACATAAGAGCGGCCATACTGGGTCAGACCAAAGGTCCATCTAGCCCAGTATCCTGTCTGCCAGGTGCCCCAGAGGGGCTGGACCGAAGACAATGATCAAGCAATTTGTCGCCTGACATCCTCCTCCAGCCTTTGACAAATAGAGGCCGGGGCACCATTCCTTACCCCCTGGCTAATAGCCTTTTCTGGACCTAACCTCCATGAATTTATCTAGTTCTTTTTTAAACTCTGTTATAGTGCTAGCCTTCACAGCCTCCTCTGGCAAGGAGTTCCACAGGTTGACTGTGCGCTGTGTGAAAAATAACTTTCTTTTATTAGTTTTAAACCTGCTACCCATTAATTTCATTTGGTGTCCTCTAGTTCTTATATTATGGGAACAAGTAAATAACTTTTCTTTATTCACCCTCTCCACACCACTCTCAATTTTTATATACCTCTATCATCTCCCCCCTCAGTCCCCTCTTTTCTAAACTGAAAAGTCCCAGTCTCTTTAGCCTCTCCTCATATGGGACCCATTCCAAACCCCCAATCATTTTAGTTGCTCTTTTCTGAACCTTTTCTAATGCCAAAATATCTTTTTTGAGGTGAGGAGACCACATCTGTATGCAGTATTCAAGATGTGGGCGTACTATAGTTTTGTATAGGGGCAGTAAGATATTCTTTGTCTTATTTTCTATCCCTTTTTTAATAATTCCTAGCATCCTATATCCTTTTTTGACTGCCGCTACACGACTGCGTAGACATTTTCAGAGAACTGTTCACAGTAACTCCAAGATCTCTTTCCTGATTAGTTGTAGCTAAATTAGCCCCCATCATATTGTATGTATAGTTGTGGTTATTTTTTCCAATGGGCATTACTTTTGCACTTATTCACATTACATTTCATTTGCCATTTTGTTGCCCAATCACTCAGTTTGGTGAGATCTTTTTGAAGTTCTTCACAGTCTGCTTTGGTCTTGACTATCTTGAACAGTTTAGTATCGTCTGCACACTTTGCCACCTCACTGCTTACCCCTTTCTCTAGATCATTTATGAATAAGTTGAATAGGATTTGTCCTAGGACTGACCCTTGGGAACACCACTAGTTCCCCCTCTCCATTCTGAAAATTTATCATTTATTCCTCCCCTTTGTTTCCTGTCGTTTAACCAGTTCTCAATCCATGAAAGGATCTTCCCTCTTATCCCATGACAACCTAATTTACACAAGAGCCTTTGGTGAGGGACCTTGTCAAAGGCTTTCTGGAAATCTAAGTATACTGTATCTACTGGATCCTCCTTGTCCACATGTTTGTTAACCCCTTCAAAGAACTCTAATAATTTAAAAACAACCAGTGGTCTGGTAGCACTTTATAGACTAACAAAACATGTAGATGGTATCATGAGCTTTCGGGGGCACAGCCCACTTCTTCAGATGACCGGAGTTATGAGTTTAGGATGTGTACACTCAAAATAAATAGGGGAGGGAGGAGGGAAGCCCCCCTCCCTTTTTCTTTTCTCCCCTTCTCCTCTACTATTTATTTTGTGTGTACACATCCTAAACTCATAACTCCGGTCATCTGAAGAAGTGGGCTGTGCCCCCGAAAGCTCATAATACCATCTACATGTTTTGTTAGTCTATAAAGTGCTACCAGACCACTGGTTGTTTTTAAATTATTAGAGTTCTTTGAAGGGGTTAACAAACATGTGGACAAGGAGGATCCAGTAGATACAGTATACTTAGATTTCCAGAAAGCCTTTGACAAGGTCCCTCACCAAAGGCTCTTGTGTAAATTAGGTTGTCATGGGATAAGAGGGAAGATCCTTTCATGGATTGAGAACTGGTAATAATTCAATATTGGTGTCACATTAGCGATCTTCCAGTCATTGGGTACAGAAGCTGATCTAAAGGATACGTTACAAACCACAGTTAATAGTTCCGCAATCTCCCTTTTGAGTTCTTTCTGAACCCTATGGTGAATGCCGTCCGGTCCCGGTGATTAGCGCGGGTATTTAAATCCCGGGCTTGATTTGCAACTTCGAATGCCTACATTAGCCTCCCTAGTTCGAACTAGGGGGCTAGTGTAGACAGACCCTAGGGGACTTGTTAGGCTGATGGAGCACTCGGGTCTTCTCGGTCCAGAGTGAGTCCTAGGCTTCAGGAAGTTTGTGCACGCAACGCCAGTGTGGACCGGATGCCATTCTCAGTGTGTGCAAACCTTCCTTGGGGCTTTGCGATTGACAGAGGCAACGGCCTTTGTCAAACTGATGAATGCCGTGCACAATACCTGATTTGGCTCCTGAGACGTTTCCTGGACCTGGCAGGCCATAAAGATGATGTTGGTTGCCTCAGAAACTACTCCGAGATTCCAGCGATATTTCCTCAGCAAGGGGAAAGAATTGCTTTCAGAGCATATGGGCAAGAACTTTACCTGCTGTAGACGGCAAGGCAATCCCTTGATAATTCTCACCCTGACTTATCTCCTTTCACAAAGGATCTACCCGCACAAGCAAAATGAAAACACCGCACGTCGTTGTGGCCAACGTGAGCTTCCAGTTAGGAATGAGTCCACCGGCTCTACATTGAATATTCTGGGCCTGGAGGACAAGCACGCAGGACTTTGTCCACCAGCAAGAAAGTGTAACCCCCAAATATACAGGCCACAAGTCATGGAAAACCAAGTTGAGTATAGTCCGCGTGGTCGTCACATACACCTTCTTCTGATCCCTCAGGGTGAAGCCCTGGCCCCGTTGAAGGCAACACTCTTACTGAAGTCAACAGGGGTTTCATTGCCCCGTGTATGTGACACCACCTCACGCTGGGTCGATGCTAAAAGATTAGGTTGACCCACCTGGCTCTCCACAGGGCGTGAAAGCGCCACACCCCTGGTGATGTAGACAGCACTAACAAGGATCATGTTATATGGGACGTGAGCAGAATGAGTAGACTTGTAAGGATTTGATTATTATTGGTAAATGTTGATACGTGTCAATTTTATTCCACATACAAATTCAGGAAATATATTTCCATCACCTGTCTTTGAAATTTACAGATAGAGAAAATAAGGAAAACATTTCTTGAGAACTTCTTGCTGTTTGATTTAAAGATATTTATTTTGTATATTTTGATATGTAATGCTGATAATTTGTTTTTTAATGGTTATAAAGTTTTAACTCTTTGAATCTTGGTTTCTCTGGTCATTAAACAGTTATTGTCTGGCCTACCCATAACTTCCTGCAACTATGGAAATGTAAATAGATGATAGTAAAAAGCTTAAAAATTAACAATGATATTAGCAGTCAAAATGATAAATATAAATTGAACTTTGCCAAGCCGAACAATGAAGTATCAGTCTCCCGTTAGAGCCACAAAAATGAAAATGATAGGAAATATGTTGGATTTGGATGCCAAAGTATTATGGTAGAATTGCTAACAAAAAAAGGAAGCAATAGGATTTGCTTCTCGCAGGCCTGAGTGCCTTGCATCTCTCATGCTGACAGATCGTGGGGGGGTTACAATGGTCTAGATGATATTGCAAGATTCAATCATGTCCCAGCACCACAGTCTGTAACATTTTGTCTTAATGTTTGCTTTTGTTGTCTTCTCACAGACCCCAATCATGGATGAGACCTTAGATGAACCTCCAACTTCTGCTGTCTTCTTGGACAGCTACCACTTCTCCCAGGTTATCTTTAATAATGTGGAGAAGTTTTATGTCCCTGGGGGAGACATAACCTGCTGTTATACCCTCACGCAGAACATCACTCCTCGCAGAAAGGACTGGGTGGGCATTTTCCGGGTAAGTGTGTGCTCCGACTCATTAGCCACCCTGCCCTGAAAGGAGCGGGCATTTCCAGTTATTTCATGCTTGATCCCTAAGGGGGAGTTTGAGGCTTTGAGAGAAGAAAGTAGCAGCTGTTTTTCAGTGGTGAGCTTATGTATTGTAGTGTCTGTCCTGCATCAAAAGATGTGGGGCCTGAAACCAAGCCTCTATTCTTCCACTTGGAGGTTAAATTGGCGTTGTGTTACATTTACACTTTCCATAATCTGGGCCTGCTATGGGGCCAGTCTGGCTGTTGGTTGAAATTAGAGCAGCGAGAGGGCTAATCTAATCATTTTTTGAGGAGAACAGGATCTTTCGAAAAAGCTTGCTGTTTTCGAAAGAACCACGTCTAGACCGTGGTTTTACTTTTGAAATGGTGCTTGTTTGAAAGAGCACTATGACGTGATTATGCAAATGAAGTATGGGATATTTAACTCCCCGCTTCATTTGCACTTTCGAAGTCTAGACATAGCCCCAGTTACAATTTAGCATCTGTGAAGTCCACAGCTTCACATGTACAGAATGGGAAGTGACTGTCTAGGAAGGAGTACTGCAGAAACGGATCTAGGGGTCAAAGTCGACCACACACTAACTATGTGTCAACAGTGTGACATTTGCAAAAAAGAAACATGATTCTGGGCTGCATTAACAGGAGTGTTGTGAGCAAGACACGAGAAGTCATTCTTCCACTCTACTCTGCGCTGATTAGGCCTCAGTTGGAGTATTGTGTCCAGTTCTGGGCACCGCATTTCAAGAAAGATGTGGAGAAATTTGGAGAAGGTCCAGAGAAGAGCAACAAAAGCAATTAAAGGTCTAGAAAACATGAGCTATGAGGGAATACTGAAAGAATTGGACTTCTTTAGTTTAGAAAAGAGAAGAGAAAAGGGACAGGAGAGCAGTTTTCAAGTATCTTAACAGGTGTTACAAGGAGGAGGGAGAAAAATTGTTCTCCTTGACCTCTGAGGACAGGACAAGAAGCAATGGGCTTAAACTGTGGCAAGGAAGGATTAGGTTGGACATTAGGAAATACTTCCTGCCTGTCAGGGTGGTTAAACACTGGGATAAATTGCCTAGGGAGGTTGTGGAATCCCCATCACTGGAGATATTTAAGAGCAGGTTAGACGGACATCTATCAGGGATGATCTAGACAGTGCTTAGTCCTGCCATGAGGGCAGGGGACTGGACTTAATGATCTCTCGAGGTCCCTTCCAGTTCTAGCATTCTATGATCAACATAAGCTGTATGATACCATCTAATTATCTTGCTTTTGCAGGTGGGATGGAAAACAACCCGTGAATATTACACCTTTATGTGGGCTCCTTTGCCGAGTGACCTCAGCAGTGATTCTGTCGTGAATCAGCAAATTAATTTTAGAGGTCAGTTGGGAAGGGGCTGGCAGCTCATACTGTGTGTTCGTTCACTCACTCACTCACTCAGACTCTGTCTCTGATTGGTCTATGCTCCAGCAAAAATATTGTTCTATATTTGGGTAAACTTCATGCATGGCCCTGTGATTATACGGTCGCACAAGAAGCAGTTCAGTGATTATCTGGCCCCATATGGCAGGGGTGGGCAATAATTTGTAATGGGGGCCATGGCAAGAAGGCCGCTCTTTTCTATGATATTAATGGAGAGGGTGCGGAGTCTGGGATAGAAGTTAGGTGCAAGGGGGAGCTCTGGGTAGGAGATGGGGGTGCAAGGTCTGGGAGGGGGGTTTGGATGCAGGAGTGGATTCTGACCTGGGGAAGGGGCATAGGAGGGGGTGCAGGGTCTGGGAAGGAGTTGTGACCAGGGGCAGGGGTGAAATAGGGAATGCAGAAAGTTTGGATTGTGATCTGAGACAGGGAGTTGGGGTGCAGAAGGGGGTGGGGTGCCAAATGCAGGCTCTGGCCAGGAGGCACTTACTGTAGGTGGCTCCTGGCCAGCAGCCCATCGGGACCCTTAGGTGGGCTCCCTATCTGCTGTGGCCCCACATGCTGCTCAAAGTGGCCAGCTGCTGGGGCCAACATGTGTATGTCTGCATGGCACGCCCCTTAGGAAGGGACTCTGCATGCGCTTCAAGCATGGCCCAGGCAGCTCCCCTGGGCCAGTTTCCTGCCACTAGCAGCTGCGAGGAATGTGCTGGGGGTGGGGGTGGCGCACTCCCTTCCCCACAGTGGGCATGCACCACACACACACACAGGCCCCAGCAGTTGGCGCTTTGAGCAGTGTGCGGGGGCATAGAAGGCAGGGAGCCTGCCCGAGGTTCCTGCTTGGCTGCAGGACATTAGTGGCCCAGAGGGGCTATATATTGCTCCCTCCTACCCCCGCCATACGCTGCGTGCTGCTTTGTAGTCTGTGGCCTTGGGTCTGGGCTTCCTGTGCTGTACAGTTGACAAGAGACCCTGAGTAATTGCAAACACCCTATGGTGCGGCTTTTTGTTTTGTTTTAAGCCTACTACCTGCCGAAAGATGATGAATATTACCAGTTCTGTTACGTTGACCAGGAGGGGATGGTCCGGGGAGCCAGTGTGCCTTTCCAGTTCCGGGCGGAGACCGAAGATGACATCCTGGTGGTCACTACCCAGGTATGATGTCTCATCACGGCAGGGGGGGAAGCGCAGCTGTGGCTGCAGGAAATGATCAAGGATGCGATTGGGTAGCCAGCAGGTGCTTGTCTGTATCGAGGACTCAGCTGACTGCCTGACGTTAATGATTGTGCAGAGCAGTCAGTCCGTGGGCCTGAGCCTGTAAGAGGCAGAAGACCCTCCACTCCCCTGGCCTCGGGGGAATGGAGGGTATTGAGTGCAGTATTTTGGAGCTTGACTTCGAGCTCTGGGTGGACGAGGTCTGGCAGCACCAGCAGAGACTGAAAGGGAAGTCCAGTCTTGGGTGTCAGAGAAGAGATAAAAATCCACTGGTTTTCTGCAGGGCTGACGTTTCTTTGCCCTCCACGACACTGCATTCTTACTGAGCACGTCTGTGTTGTTTGCCAGGGAGAAGTGGAGGAGATTGAGCAGCAAAACAAGGATTTACTTAAAGAAAACAAGGAGCTGAAGGAAAACTGCCTTTGTCTCCAGAAACAGAACCTGGGTTTGCAAGAGCAGCTCCAGCTGGCACAGGTACAGACACGGGAGAAGACAGGAATTTGGAGGCCCTGAGGCTGATGGCTCAGGCTTATACAGGTCCATTATGTGTTTCCAGGAGAAGATGAAAGAGCTAGAGGGAGAAGTCTGTTTCTTGCAGACTGGGAACTTGGAGCTACGGCGAGCTCAGGAGCTGCAGGCCGGAGAGATGAGCTCTGCCCAGATGAATTTGGCTGCAGTGAGGGAAGAGAATGAAAAACTAGGAAAGGAAAATCAGGTAAAAGGCCAGATGAGCTTGGGGATGAGCAGGAGGAGGGAATAGGGAGAGACCAGAGAAAGTGGAGAGGGGAGGATAAGATAGAATCAAGGTCTTAGCCTCAAAGAAATATGAGCAAGTGCAACGTCCATTGTAACCTGTGTGGGGGTGGGGGAGTGAATGCACCTCAGTTAGTCCCAAAGGGCAGAGGGAAGAGACCGTCCCCCTCACTTCCTTCCCTCCCCCATCCTCTTTGATCTCCGTGGGGCTGATCTCCCTCATTCCCACCCCAGAGCCTACACACACCCAGCGAGGGTACGGCTAGACTGCAGTTTTTCAGGATTCCAGAAAAACTCTTCTGCATCCAGGGATGCATTTGTTCTTCCGCTTTTTTTGTTGTTGAAAAGCAAACATGCTCTTTCAGTAACCCTCTGCTCCTCTCTCCACAAGGAATAAGGGGGCTTCCCAAAGAAGGGGTTTTCTGACATTTGGTCCAGTCCAGACAGGCCAAATGTTGGAAAATCCTCTTCCTACAGAAGAATTGGGGGGAAAGAAGCAGCAGTATAAGGGTTGGGGATAGCAAGTGATGGAGAGGAGGAGAATAGAGAGGGCGGGGCTTCAAGGAAGGGGCGGGATCTTAGGGGAAGGATGGGGCAGTAGATCTTGGCTTGTTCTGTCATTTAAAAAGTGATCTTGGGTGTAAAAAGGTTGGAGACCCCTGTCGTAGGCCATGCAAAGTGAGTAAACCTGGGCCTTCCCAGTTCTGGGGGAACCCTCGGTGCAAGGAAGAATCTCCACTTCCATTTAAAAAGCAAAACAAAAAGAGTTTCCAGGCCTTTTCCAGGGGAAAAAATGCCTTGAAAATGCAAACCAGTCACTAGGGTGGAAAGGACTCAGTAGCTGGGCTTGACTTCCGTAGCAGGAGGTGGGGGAGAGCCAAAGATTTGCAGAGAGCTCTCTCTGACGCATGAGTGCAAAGCATCAGTTGTGGGTGTCTCTCCAACGCGCTGCCAGATCCTGAGCTGGTCTTGTACAGAGCAGTGTTACTGATGGACTGGAGTTGGTTACCTTTGGGAAAGAAGTGCTCAAAGATTCCATCGGCCTGTCCCAAAGGCCAGCTCTGGATTTGATCTTCCTGTTACTGCTCCTTCCTCCTCCTCTTTTGTCCCAGGCCCCAATGTAAGCAAAATTGGAGCTGAATACGTGAGAGAGAGAAGAGAAAGGAGAGGAAAAATGCCCCTCCCTTTAGGAGGGTTGTCTGGGGTTGTGGCATTGAGTGGGATGTGCAGATACAGAGGGGAGCAAAAATGACGGCTGTTTCTGTGGTTTGACTCCCATTTACCTTCCTGTACTCAGGAGCTGCAGAAAGGACTGGAGTCTCTGAGGAGCAGCTGTGAGAAATTGGAGCTGGAAGCAAGTTTCCTGAAAGAGGGGAACAAGCAGCTGATGGAACAGGATGGCTGCAGAGAGAGAGAGCTGCAGCAGTGAGTTTACTTACCATACGTCTGCAAAGGGGAGTTTCTGGAAGCTCCCAGGTGCAGTGGGTTGGGTTTCCTCTTGTTTCGCACTGATGAAAGCCAGTGACTGTGTTTACACGTAACGAACCTGCGAGTGAGTGTCTGAGCAGCCCCTTGGGGTTTTGATCTAGGTTTGGCATTCACAGGCCCCCAGGCACACGTAAGTGTGAGGGTGACTGAGCAAAACTGACTCTTGGACTAAGTCCATGGATTTACAGGCTCTCAGCTGTCTGTGTCAGTTGAGGGGAAAGTTGCCACCAGGGCGTGGAACAGATCTAGGAGTTGCGGGATCTCTGGTAGCTTCATGCAAAGGTTTGAGGAACAAAGCAGGGCTTTGATATTTAGGTTACTCCATTTGAACCTGCCTGAGAAGAAGCTAAGCTTCCGATTAGGTTTAGAAAGGAAAGCTGTGTGTGTGGCTTCCCAAAGGCAGGTGCCAACGGGTGATTTTGCAGGGCCAAGTGCAACAGAAAATGTTACTGTTTGGTTTGTTCTGGGCAGACTCAAAGAACGTAACCAGGAAGTATCCTCTGAAAAGGAGCAACTGGAAAGCAGATTGAAAACTACCCTGGATCACATGGACTTGCTGCAGGTAGGCAAAGTGCAGTCTGTCTCGGCTTCTGCAATCTGTGCAAGACTCCGCTTGTGTCTGGTGGGGAACAAAGCTGCCTCTGGCAAATTAGGGTGGTGTCTGGGTTCTTAGGGTGTGTCTAGACTACAGGGTTTTGTCGACAAAAGTGGACTACAAAACTATACCTGCATCTACACTGCCGCCGAGTTCTATCGACATAACGTCGACAACTCGGCAGTTTTGTCGACCACGGTAAACCTCATTCTACGGCTGTATTCCAGACGTGCTTTGTTGACAGAAGCTTTGTCGACAGTATTTGCCGACAAAAGCCTGTAGTCGAGACACACCCTTAGTGATTCCAGGGGTTTCTTAAGGAAATGTGAACCTACAACGAGACAATCTGGAGTTCCAGAAGGCTCCTAACAAATGCCGTATTTGGGGAGAAAGGAAGTTTTAGCGAATCCCTGCAGATTTTTATCTCTTTCCCCAAAATACATCCCCTGTGCACCCATGATGAGATCACCCTAAAGATTTGTGTACTCCTGTAGCTCCTCCTGCCTGACGCTCTCAAAGGGATTTCTGAGTGTTGAAGGGTTTAGTCTCGCAAGAGACTTATGAGGTAGGTAAGTGGTTGGACTGGCCAGAAAACAGACAATTGCATTTCATGAAACACTTAGAGGTTTAAAAAAATTTGGTTTTCTGCATCAGAAGGAAAAAGAGAGACCAACTCTCTGTATCCTAGTAGCTAGGCTGGGGAGATGGGAAACCCAGGCCAAAGTCTGAACCACTGGATTATGGAGCATCTACCCAGCAGGCTACATTACTTTTCTTTCCTCTCAACCAGAAATGAATCCTGGTCCCGATAAACCAACAAATGTTACCAAATTCAGCATGGTCCCTGTGAAATAGCCCAGTTTCACTGAAATGGCATTTGATGGAAAGCAGGCAAATCAAAAACATTTTGGCCAGCTCTGACATTACTAGCACTGCTTTACAAATGGGGAAACAGCTTGAGTGACTTGACTAAGGTGCAGGATCACACGACATGGTCATGTTTAAAGTGAAGGATGATTCACTGAAGAAAATACACACACGAATGCAGGCCTAAGAAACACATGATCTGAGTGAGCCCCGATGCACTCAGAGCTTTTCCTTTAGTAATTCCCCATTGCTGATGAACTACTGCTTTTCCTTAACAGCACCAAACCCAGGATCTAACAAAGGAACTCGAGGAGAAGAACCATTTGTTTCAGATACTTCAGTGGAAGAAGGATGAAACCGATGAAGAAAATCTGGTGAGAAACTCACACCCACACTACCAACTTCCCAACTCAGAGAAGTCTTCATTAACTCTGCTTCTGAACACAGTCCAGAGCTCTGCAGAATTAGGCAGAGTGGCTGAACAAAAAGCTGCAAGAGGTTTTGTTGAGACTTAAAAGGTGCTCATAATGATGAACAATTGTTATGAGATAGAGAATCATGCGACAATAGAGAGCCACCTGACAAGGAAACTGTGGAAGAAAGCTTTAATAAAATGCAATCAGCTGACGCAAGGGTGTTTTCTCCCCTCCCCCCGGGTGCTCTCAGCCTAACTATCCCATCGAATTCAGTGGTCCTCCCAGGGTTTAACCAGTTAACTCATTAAACAGGGTTTTACATCCCTAGTTAGACAAACATCTGTTAGGGATGGTCTAGATCAGTGTTTCTCAACCAGTGGTATGAGTACCCTTAAGGGTACTTAAGAGAAGTCTGGGGCGGGTCCATCTACACAACTGAAATTTGGAAAGAACTGAATTTTTGTTTTAAGTTTTACAGTGTTTTATTATTTCTATACTTTTTACACCCAAACACTTCATCGCCCACCCGGCTACGATTAAGTTGTTTAAACAAATGTGTTGCAACAGTAGAAAAAAATCGTGTGTGTCTGAAAACTAGGTACTGGGGGTACTTATATTTTTTAAAAGGGGTACTTTATAAAAAACTGAGAAACACTGGTCTAGATTTACTTGGTCCTACTACAGCCCTGAGGGCGGCACTTGGTGATTTCTTAAGGTCCCTTCCAGCTCTGCATTTCTATGGTTCGATGATCAAGTCTGGCCTCCTGTGCTACACAGGCCATCAAAAAGGTGTTGTCACCTCACTTTCCCTGTTCTACCCCCATTTTATGGATGGGGGGAAGACTGACCTACTGAGAAGGATTTGTGAAGGGCTTTGAGAGTCTCAGATGAGAGGAACCGTATGAGCGCAACCATTAAAAACAGCTTCTCTCTGAATTGGCCCCCTTAGTGGCTGGATCTTCACTCTGCTTTTCTGTCCCTTTGCAGAGACTGAGGCAAAAGAACAACGAGTTGCTGATGTCCCTTGCTGAGAGTCCGGATTATTCTGCGCGTGTTGCTGTCCCACCGGCGCGAGTTCCTGCTCAGGCTCCAGGAAGTGCCACCCTGGTGTTTGGGAACCCGTACTTTGGTGAGTTAGTTTGGTCCCTGACAGCCTCTGCACAGGATGCCAATGGGATGGGCAGGGGTAGCCCGTGACTATAGGCAGACTCGGCCGCCGCCTAGGGTGCCACCTTCAACGGGGAGCCCCATGATGACGTCACGGGAGGCCCAGGGCGCCCGATGATGACGTCAGTCCATTGACAGCCCTGCAGATGGGGGCGCTGATCGCGCGTTCTGCCTGGGGCGCCAGCTGCCGCAGCCCGCCTCGGGCCACCCCTGGGGATGGGTCCTATCTAATCACATTCTGACTGCTCCCAAGTTGGAGAACCCTAAGGAACTGGGCTGCAATCAGAGATAAATTAAGAATGAATGGGGTTGAGAGCTATGAAAATTGCAGTCCCTGACCCTTAGAGATCCTGTGTTCAGTCCTCCTTCTTCCTGGCCAGTGGGAGACAGAAGGTGAAAATCTACTTTCTCCCCATCGTTCCTGAGAAGATGAAATCCGTCCATTCACTCTTTTTTGGGGCAGGAAGAACCTCCCCCTACGCACGTGTTGGTAGGGGTCTCAGCACATTGTCATCCGTCTTGATTTGGAGGCTTGTAGAAAAGAAGCTCTCTGAAGCCTGTCTGTGCTGCCTCCCATGTGTTCAGAAGGTGCCCTGGCAGCTTCAGAAATCTGTCAGGTCCGCGAGTTGCCTTAAGTGTTGAGCACTGATCTCTTTCTGCCAAGAATGAGAACCCATTGGCCAAGTCACGAGGCAGCCAGTCCCATGCCCTCGGTCCAGCATTCCTGAGTCTGAAATATAGAGGTTCCTTCCTGTTTCAGAGCTAGATCTGGTACTTCAAGAAGAATAAAGAACAGGTGAACATCACATCACTGTTGACTGTGGGCTGTGGTTAAGACGTGCATTTTCTATTCAAGAACAGGTGAACACCGCATCAAACTGTGGGCTGTGGTTAAGACGTGCATTTTCTATTCTTTTGCAGAGTCCCCAGAGACGAGTGCTGAGAACATGGTAAATAACATGGCTTGCTTGTGGATTTCGCTTTGTGGCATGAAGGTCGGAGTCTGATTGAGCTCCAGAGCTACAGCTCTGGTCAAGCTAGTGTGCTCTGCTGTCCCGGACGGCAGAATGGAGGCCTGTATGTTTCAGAATAAGCGGGGCTGGAATTAATGATGGTTGTTTGTGGTAAGGAGGAGAGAGTGAACACCAGTGCAGCCATAAGCAACATCAGCATGCAAACACAATGAGCAGCATTCAGCTGCCAGATGTTGCATTTCATAATGGAGAAATGGACACATGGTGAGTAGGGTAGAAAGCAAAAGCAGATCCAAGAAGTGTTGAGGCTAGGGATGTAAAATCCCATTTAATCCGTCAGCCTTTAACTGATTAAACGGGGTAGGGGGGAGGTTCACTGCTGCTGCAGCCTTACTGCTTCCAGCCCACGGTTAACCATTACCCAGTAAGCATCACGGGAGGCACGCTGCTGCCCACTAAGGGCGATGCTTACTGGGTAACCAGTTACTTATTCATATCCCTAATTTAGGCTCATGAAACCAGTCACTGAGGTTTGGAGGCATCTGAAACCCTGTGGAGGATTAGAAAATAGAGCGGCCTGCCCTGTAACTGATTATTTCTAATCTCCCTTCCTTCTCCTTGTTATTATTTAGGCTCACGGAACCAGTCACTGAGGTTTGGAGGCATCTGAAACCCTGTGGAGGATTAGAAAATAGAGCGGCCTGCCCTGTAACTGATTATTTCTAATCTCCCTTCCTTCTTGTTATTGCGAGTGTTGCTACATGTTCTTCGTTGTTTTGTTTTCAGCCCTCTGTGAAGAAGTGCCACCTGTGTGGTGAGGTGTTTCCAGATGACATGGGGCCTCATCAGTATGAGGACCATTTGCGAAGCCACCTTCTGAATTGCCCGTACTGCGACGAGACCTTTGAGGAATCCAATAGGCAGGTGTACAACGATCATATGTACTGCCACAGCCTGGAATAATACTTCATTCTGTGCTGTGCTGTGCTGTACTGTGCTGTGCTGTGCTGCACAGCAGGTTGTAGAGCTCCTCTTTCAGGTGGGATAGCACGGACTTGACCATCGCCGATATCATTAAGTTCTGTAGATCCTAGTAAAATCATCCAAGCAAGGCTGGACTCGGCACCAGTACTGTAGAACTGACCCATCAAGTTGGTTGAGACTAGAGCCATCCTTGTCAAATGTGTCCTTTATCTTCCATCAAACACGGGGACTGTCGAACACCTGAGTCCCTGTATCCAGTTGTTCAGTCTGCATGCAGTACCTGTACTTCAGAACAAAGCTGGCCCTGTGGTCCGTTGTTCCGATCTACTGTAGAACAGCAATTGCCTGTGCTTGGCAGAAACCTCTGCATCTGTTGTTTTATTCCTTAGAGCGGCGCTGAGACGATTTAGCCTAAAGCCAAAACCAACAGATGCAGCCTTTGAGCTCAAAGCCCCAGTCTTATTCAAGGTTGCATGACTGCAGATATAACTTAATCGTAAAACTGAGTCCTTCCTTCACCCTCTGTTCCAAGCCAGTGAAAGCTTAGTCTCAGGAATGAATTTAGTGTAATTTCTATGCACATCTTCTAAGGCAGAGGTGGGAAACCTAAGGCTAAGGGAACTGGATGCAGCTCACAGCTTGCCTGGATCTGGCCCCTGAGGTGTGAGTCTTCCCTCTTCTACCCAGCATTGGAGAACCCATGATGGCCCTCCAGCTCCCTCCTCCCTGCAGGGCTGAAGCACACACAGTCTACTAGTGTGCCGCCTCCCCCAGGCTGCAGTGTGTGAAGGGAATGTGGGGAGGGTCTGTCTCCTTCTCAGTCAGGGGGCCATGTCCGTGAGGGTTTGTTTAGGTCTTTTTGCTTCTCTCTTGCCTGCAGCCACCGACTAATTTTTTTCTGTGGGTCAGCAGCCCCGACCCTAAAAAAGTTCGCTACCCCTGCGCTAAGGAAACTGATGGGGGATCCTGCACTTTTCAGATTTGCTTATCGGAAGCGTCTTGATTCCAGGATTAAAGGAGCCTCTTCTGAGTGCAAAATGCTGGGGTTCGAGCCTCACAAGTGCCTGGGGTGATTGCATTGCTTTTGCACAAGTTTTAAATACTTTTTGTTGCAATTGACAGTCAGCGTTTTTTTCTCTATGCAAACACGAGGGACGTTTATTATCCAATAGTGTTATACTGTGCATTTGTTTAGTGATGAATATCTAAATCTGTAGGGAATCCTATTTAGGTTTTCATAGTAGCTTCATTCGAACCAGGCTAAGAATGGATATCTTAATACGTTGCTTTAATATCTTCAATGCTAACAGCTTAAATAAATGTGTATCTGTCAACCTTTGATTCAAACTTTGGATTTCTCTCCCCAGTTGTATGTAATAAGGCTTTTATTTTATTTTTTTTAACTGTTAGCAGGCTCTATACAAAACCATGTAGCAGAAATGGAAAAGGTGAATAAACAATAGCAAACAGTAACTACGGTCTGACAAAAGTTTGGTTATTTTATAACAAGCAAGTGGAGATTCTACCATCCCGTCCCAAGTAAAAGATATCCTAAGGGAACTGTCTTACAGGCCCTTAATTCCCAAGTCCATTTATGAACATCCCTAACTAATTCAGCATATGAAGCTCTCCACGCTGAAAACAGCTAGATTGTTTGCAGTTATAGAACTAGAAGACTTACCGGGATTGGGGGGAGGCTGCGCAGACCAGCCGGGCCTGGCTGCTGGGCGGCCTGGCAGTGCTGGGAGGGGCAGGGAACAGGCTGTGGATCCTGCAGGGGTGGAATGGATATCTGTATCCGGAGCCTACTGTGCTAGATGCTGTACAAACATGTTTTCCATGACTTCTCCAGTCACCTTCCATGTACTTCTCACTTATCCTTTGCTGCCCAGTTTGCCTCCATGTTGACGTAAATAATCACAGTGTGCAGAACTGGATCATTGTTTCCTCAAAATAGGAATATTTATCAGTTTTATACCCTGGAGGTGAGACCATAGAGCTATTTTTTTCACCTCAGCTTTGAGTGAAGGAGTCACTGATGGTCAGAGGTTTGTTTGAAGTACAGGAGGAACAATTCACTTTAATCATCTATTCCCTGACTTTTTATTATTATTATTATTATTATTATTGTGTTTAATCCTGACTGATGCTTTTTTGTGGTGGTTACATCACGCAATCTTCTGAAAACATTTGTGTATAATTAGGACTTTTGCTCAATTTTCTACATCATAACTCTGTTTTTCTCCATTTATTGCCTCTCCTTATATGTTTAGGATGTAATACTTTTAGGGAGGAGTTGTCTTTTTAATAGATCTGTCCAAGGTAGCAACTCCTGTAAACCAAACAAGCCACCCAAAGAAATGCAGATGCAGCAATCATCACAGGTGCCTAGTATCAGTAATCCCCACCATCTCTCTCTCTCCTGCCTCAAAACAATCCCTCTTTGTCCTATGAATGAAATAAAAGTATCCCTCTATCAATTCACATGCCTTACACATTGTGAAACTAAAAATATGCACAGCAAAGCAGCCCTGAAACAAAATCAAACCAGCCTGTTGGCATTTTAAAACTGAACCCCAGTCACATGTAGAAAAGTGTCAAGACATCCTTTTGTCCAGGCTTCCAATGGGCTATGAAATCCTGGACATTAGCAAACTGGCCAGGTTTTCCTCTCTTTGTTCCTGCTGTTGTCCGTTACAGGCTGAGTTTGTTTCTCCTATCTAAATAAGCGCATACATTCTGTTTTAACACATATTAAGTGTGCCTAGATGCAATGCTGATGAATATATTATACGTATGCTACACTGTGAGCTCCCTGGAGCAGGGACCATCCCTTCCTGGCTGTATGGAAAGAACCAAACATGTTGTAGATGCTCCCATAAATTATTACTAAATAATTATAATAAATGCTGATTGTTAATAATCAGGGGTCAAAGCAGGGATAAGTGACTGAGTTCTGCTAATATCCCATTGGTCACATCCCCTTCCATATCAACGACTCCTCTTCTTTCAGCGGTATCCCTCCCCTGGAGATTTTGTCTGTCTCATCTGTCTTCCCATTCCCCTAATTACTGACCACAGCTGAGAAGCAACAGTGACACTTTTTGGAGGAAGCAATGATGGACACAGGGATGTGGGTGGGTTGTGAGAGAAAGGGAGTGATGCAGGCAAGGAGAGTATGCCAAAACATTTCTTCATAGCCCTACTTCATTGCTTGCAGTCACTGATGGTTCTCTCCATCATTTGATTTCTGTGGAGGTTTTGTCCTACTCTTTGACTTTCTCCCCTTTCTTAGGCCATACTCTCCACTCCTCCCTTGGGCTTTTGGTGTCCTGTTGAGAGAGACAAGAAATTTATCTGTTGTATTTTCAGACATCTGATTCCACAGTGGAATATTGCCCCATTTGCATGCAAAAAACTTTGCTCAAAAGTAAAGGGTACCTATGCACAATGTTTGTTGTCACAAACCCTCAAAATCCAGTAAATAAACATTAAATCTTTACATGAATTAAATGCTAAACTGCTGTGACATGCTACCAACACTAACCTGTGATCACGGAAAGCATCACACACTCGGTGATCTCAATTATTTCAAGAGGGGCCAGAATTTTTCCTTTGACAAGATACTTCTGGTGCAGGAGAGAGGGAGGAGCCATCAGAAAACCAGGTGTAGCTTCCTGATTCTTAAACCCACACTAGCCCCGATATAATTTAGAGCAGCCTAAAGGTAGCTGTAGTTTATTACGGTGACTAAGGTTCTCTAAGGGATCTTACCATATGTCAGCAGAGAATTGCTATAGAAGAATAGACTCCTGCATCATCTGCTCCACCACAACATAGTCCTATGTTGGAGTGGGGAAAAGAAGAAATGAAGGAGCCAGCTCTGCAGGCTTTATGCAAAATGGGAATTCACGTCTGCTGGAAGAATTCTCAGATGGCCAGCTGTGGGCACATTACATCTCCTTTGTGCTGATTAAGCCATGTAAAGAGGATAGAAATGGGGCTGAGAATCTGGCCCCACATTCTTATTAAGCAATATATTATATCTGCATTAAACAAGAGAAACCTATTTTGTGCTTATTGTATCTTGGTCACAAAGCACACATTTCTCTAGAAGCACAATATATTTTTTATCATTTCTATTTCAGCAATATGAGCAGATGATATTAAAAAGAATCAAGGTAGCAGTTAAGACCCACGGGGCTGATGGAGCAGTTTGTATAAGCTATGTGTGGTAAACTAACGTTAATGACTTAGGCAGAGATGGAATACTTGTTTAGCATCTTGTGCATGTGTCAATTTAATTGTTTATTTCCTGGCTTTTGAGGGTTTGTGTCAAAGGTAGTTGCATTGGGGCATCCTACACTTTTGGGAAAATATATACCTACATCCTTTTTTGCCACTGTCTTGCACTTTCAATCATTAATTACTGCGGGCAAATTTGATGTAAAATACTACAAAATCAGACTAGTAGTATTTTAGCATACTTTCTTTGCACAAGTGTAGGGTACTATGTAAGGTGCAGGAGAGTGGAAATAAGTTTCTTTGTCAAATTTTCAGAAGGCCCACATGACCTGAGAGGAGAGCTCTGTAAATAACTGATGTTTTTGATTTGCTGGGGGTTCTGGAAAAAATCATTTTGGGTCAATTTTTTTTTCCAGAATTTTGGGCAAATTGAAAAGTTAAAAAAATGTTTTAAGTCAAAGAAAATATTTTTAAGCTCAAACCAAAATGTGTCATTTCAATTTTGAACTCATTTTTTAAAAACATTTTAAATTAAGGAAACTTTCAAAACAAAAAAAATTTGAATAAAAAATCAAAATATTTTCAGATTTTTTCCCAACTGAAACCATTTGGCAAAATCGGTATAAATTTGTGAAGTGTTTTGATCGATCCGAATCTTCTTTTTTAATTGAAAAAAGTCTCGCTTCGTTGAGGAGCCTAAAATTCATTTTCAAAAGTGACTTACTGACAGATACGTAAAAGTATTTAGGTGCCTAAGCATAGACAGATGTCAAGTGAGATTATCAAAAACATCTAAGCAGGTTAGATGTTGCTTTTGAAATCTCGTTAGGCTCTTACCTACATATTTAGGCACCTAAATACATTGGTAAATCTGCTCCTTAATCTCCTAATTCACTTTGGAAAATATTATCCTCTGTATAGATATCTATTATCCTTCTGCATATAATAAAAACATTCACATGTCACTTTTCAAACATAGAAATGCCCCTGCCATGGGAAATGTAAATAGACAAAATGCAGGTGAACAATGTGGGTGAGGGGTGGGAGGAATGCAACACACCAGCAAGTGGTTATGTTAGTCACTCAGCTTGTCAGTTCCATTTTGAGACACAGCAAGAAGGATGGTCATCATTTCTTTACATGGTTTTGTATGATATACATCTCATGTTAAAGCTATGTGATCAATAGAAAGCTTATTTCAGGGATCATTTCTATTCGTTTTTTGCTAGCTTTGTAGACATGTAGATATTTTACTTGCCATTTCTCACAATTTGGGCAAAATGTTGGGTGCTGTTCCAAAAGCCACTTGGCATTGGATGTTAAAGGTTCAGAAACCTTAATGCACCTATGTAGAATTTGAAAACTAAATAAATGCAGAGATTCTTACTGTGAATCCAGGGCTTTTTATTTATTTTTATTCATGTTGTTTTCTAACAAAAGATCCCTGTAGAGGTCCCAGCTAACACTGAGAACCTGCTCCCATTAAAGTCAACAAGAGCCTGTGTTTCTCCATTACCCACAGTTTATGTAGTCGTGTACATGAATGCAAAGTGGGCCTAAATGCCACCAGGTCAGAATGGTGGCATTCTACACTCACTTTGCATTGCTATGAATGATGACATGAGGTGCAGGCATGGCAAAGTCAGGCCTTGAAAGGTTGGGCAATAGCCACAGAACCGAGTCCCAAATAAAAGCAGTTGTTTTCACCACCAACCATTTGTTGGGCTCCTCCATTATACTAACAGAGCAGGTTTCTCATTTGTTCCAAACAGCATAATTGAAGCAGAATGGTGCCTAGGCCTGGGACATTAGGAGCACTGTTGGCCCTGTCGTAAATCACAAGTTGTCAAGGATTTTAATGGAAGCCCTCTGAGTGCTGTAAATTTGTGCAGTTTTGCCTGCATTCCCTCCCTCATTTCCATCACAATATCACTCCAGTGGGACTGCAGCCCTGCAGCATGTGCCAGGCAGCCTAGATTGGTAGGGCACAGGGGAAGAAGCAGAAAAAAAGAGAGAGAAGGGGCGGGGGATTCAGAACAGTTGGTATTGCAGAAGCAGCTGCTGGGTGGCCAGTTATAGAGTCACCTGGTCCCATAGTGGGGGAAGGGCAATTCATCCAGGGGATTGGAGGCTGGGTAGAACGTAACCATGGAGGCTGCTGGAATAAAGACAGATGTGCTGCAGTTTACACTTCGCTCCCTCAGTCTGTGAAGCAGTAAATTAGGCAAACACAGGGTCTCTTTAGCAATGGAGTTCCTGATCCGAGCTGGTTTGGCAGAGTTACTGTGTCTGCACTACACATCTTATCTCCTGTTCTTAGCCAGAGAGGAGGTTTTTCTTTTTAAGATGGATCCTTTTACCATGTTATGCCCCCATAGCCAACCTCAGCTATCGTCAGTGGAAATTTGGGGCCGTATCCTGGTCCCAGTGACAGAGTTCCCCTCAACTTCAGCCTGACCTGGATTTAGCTTTTTAGGAATTATTTTCACACAATTGCCACTGTGGTGTGGAAACTTCAAAATGCCATGAAATCCCTAGCAACACAGACCCTAAACTGCAGGACCTGCTGTGAAACATAACTTATTTTTTGCCCTTCTCTAGTCTTTCTCCTCTCAGGATCTCAAAATACATGACAAATATTGGTAAAATGGGCCTCGTGATTCTGCCTTTTCTCCTTCTCCCATTGATGCAGAATGTGAAGGCCAAGACTATAATGGGATTGACAAAATAACTAGATAAGTTAACGGAGGATAGGTACATCAATGGCAATTAACCAGGATGGGTACGCATGGTATCCTTAGCCTCTGTGTGCCAGAAACTGAGAACGGGATACAGAGGAGGAGAGATCACTTGACAAATCCCTGTTCTGTTCATTCCCGCTAGGACACCTAGCAATGGCCGCTGTTGGAAGGCAGGATACTGGGTGAGATGGACCTTTGATCCACACCAGTATGACCATTCTTATGTTCTTATATTATCCCTGTTTTACAGACGAAAAATAAAATTGGATTTGGCAAGCAATACAATCTGACCAATTCTTTTGTTTTAGAACAGAGAGTGTGTTCTTAAAAGCAGATGCTGCACATGTGCAGTGATATTGTTTAGAAAGTCATATGGATCTTTAATCTAGGGATTTTATTACCCAGCTGCTGCAGCAGCAGTGAGTATAACAAACTTCACTAGTCCTAGCAGAACAATTAGAGTTGACAATCCTCTTTTAAAGGGATCAAGGCAAATTAGGTCCAAAATTTAGGATTTGCATTCATCTTCTGCCAGATATTTCCCAGGAATTTCAATTCATACATTGTCATAAAAGATCATTCTAGTGTTCTAGATCATCATTGTTCAGTATAGTCCTTTGAACCACAAAGCCCACAAGAATACCTAACCTTTGCCTTTGATAAAATAGACTCCAAAGATATTTAAACTTAATTCAGTAAGGCTTTTTCAAGGGTATTGCAGACAATTGCCCTGCCACCATCACTCTATGGATGAGAAAATAGTATAATCTTCACAACTCATTCAGTCTTTGGCCTCTCCATTGAGACTGACTCCTTCCCCCTAAAAGGAGGGGGAATGATGGGTGTGTTTGTGGAGGGGAGAATCAGCTATAGTGATTTTTTAAATACTTGTCTGCTAGAAATTGGACTGAGTCTGTCCAAAACTCATTTCACACAGGAAATCAAGCAGCCATCAGATGATATGCAGTGTTGCCAACTCTTGTAACTTTCTCATGAGTAACATAAAGTATGCATGGATTCACATAATTTTGTGAGAATCTCAGTTTTTATTTTGTTGAACAATAAACAGAAAATACTGGACATGTAAGGCCAGTGGGGACATTGTTCCCCTGCTGCATCTGGTGTGCGTGGGGAGAGGCGAGGAGCGCAGAGATTCTTAAAGGTGCATGCCAGTTTTTTTGTTCTCCTGGTTTTTTTTTTCTGAGATTTTTGGTGACAGCATTTGGCAAGCCTATGTGAAGCTGTTTTGAGGGTCTTTTATATCTCCAAAACAAGGGGTTGACTTGAGACCTGAGCGACCGAGGGCAGCTGGCAACACTACAATGGGATGAAGCCAATGCCCACAATGTAGTCACTTCATATCAAGTCACTTCATATCATAAAATCATGACTGATATGAAGAAAGTAAATTAGGAAAAACTATTTATTCCTTCCCATAATGTAAGAACTAGATGTCACCAAATTAAATTAATAGGCAGTAGGTTTAAAACAAACAAAAGAAAGTATTATTTCACACAACACACAGTCAACCTGTGGAACTCCCTGCCAGAGGATGTTGTGAAGACCAAGACTATAACAAGGTTCAAAAAAGAACTAGATAGATTCATGAAAGCCAGGTCCATCAATGGCTATTAGCCAGGATGGGCAGGGATGGTGTCCTAGCTTCTAGGGTTGCCAGGTGTCCAGTTTTGAACCAGACAGTCCAGTATTTGAGTTTTCTGTTCAGGAAACAAATTGAGAAAATATAAATGTCCAGTGTTTTCCAAGTAAGATGTAATGTAGATTTTGATGTAATGTCAAGTGTGTCTGATATTTTTGTTGAAACCATCTGGCAACCCTACTAGCCTCTGTTTGATGAAAGCTGGGAATGGGTGACAGGGGAGGGATCCCTTGATGGTTAATATCCTCTGGGGCACCTGTCACTGGCCACTGTCAGAAGACAGGACACGGGGCTAGATGGACTGTTTGCTCTGACAGACCATGGACGTTCTTACGTTTTTAAGGCTGTGTGCACTGACATGTTTGGTGCTGTGATGTCATGCGGTACATTTAGAGCTGTGATGTCACTGTGACACATTTGGCATGATGCTGTCTCGGCAACGCCACAGCAACACTGGAAGCACTGTGATGTGCTGAGTCGTTTGGCAGGGTGATGTGGGGATACATGTATTGCACTTATGTCACAAGAGACATGTTTGGTGCACTGATATGTTTTTAGTGCTATGTTGTCATGGTAATGGCAGGCCATGGTGATGTACAGAGTGATGTCACAGGGACGCTGTGATGTCACAGTGATACATTTAGCCTGGTGAAGTCTCAGTTTGGCGTGGTGATGTCATAATGACGTTTGGAGTGGTGATGTCATGTCAGGCTATGGCAGGGGATAAGAAATGGGGGTCGAGAGGAGTCTCCCCCTTTATAAGAGGGCCTCCCCCCTCAGTTGCTGGCTACCCCCACATCTCCTGAGGAGGAGGGCAGTTCTTACGTATATGGAAATCAGCGAGCTCCCTCACAGCTCTGATTGGCTGCAGCTCCACTCCCGAGGGCCGTTGGTAACGGTTCAGCTCGAGCTTTTTTTTTTTTTTGAGGGAGGGCAGGAAAGCAGAGTCGCCGAGAAGCCCAACTGCGCATGTGCCCACTGGCACGCGCCTTCCCTCTCAGGAGCGCGAGACCACAGCGTCCCTAACATCGCCGTGACAACCCTCTGCTCACCCAATCAGAAGCCGGGCAGATGCTTGGCCCAATGGGACTGAGGAGTGAAGTTAGCGCAAGGTCCCCGGGAGGCGGGAGGCGGGGCTGACGGGAGGATTGTCAACCAATAAGAAGGCGGGCGGTAGCAAGCAGGGTAGGCAGCGGGGTGCAGGTTGGTTGAGAGCGTTACGGGGCGAGGCGGAAAGTTGGGGGGTAAAACGGGGGAGTGAGGCGGAGAGGAGGGGATGGGGTAAGAAGGCGGGCGGTAGCAAGCAGGGTAGGCAGCGGGGTGCAGGTTGGTTGAGAGCGTTACGGGGCGAGGCGGAAAGTTGGGGGGTAAAACGGGGGAGTGAGGCGGAGAGGAAGGGATCGGGGTCAGGTAAGAGCGGGGAGCCCCCAGGATCCTCCAGTCAGCGGGGAGCCCCCACTCCCCCT